CTTTGGAAAAATCGGGAAGACGCATGACAGGAGCTTCTGTCATTCGCTCCTTGATTAACTTAAAGGCCTTAGCCGCCCCTCGTGTCCAATGAAACTCCCCTTTCTTCATGCACTCCGTGATAGGTGCCATAATAGTGCTGAACCCTTTAATAAAACGGCGGTAAAATGTAGCTAAGCCGTGAAAGCTCCTGACATCATGAATGGCCTTAGGCTCAGGCCAGTCAATTATCGCCTGAATCTTAGTAGGGTCAGCAGACACCCCTGTCAACGAGACAATGAACCCTAGAAAAACTACGCTATCGGTGAAAAAGGAACATTTCTTGACATTAGCATACAGGTTAGTCTCGCGAAGGGTAGAGCAAACTTGTTTGAGGTGGTCACGGTGTTGCTCCTTAGTTTTACTATAGATGAGGATATCATCAAAGTAGACAACAAGAAATTTACCCATGAATGGCCGAAGAGTTTGTGTCATTACCCGCATGAAGGTACTCGGCGCATTACTTAGCCCAAAAGGCATGACCAGCCATTCATAAAGGCCATCTTTCGTCTTAAACGCAGTCTTCCACTCGTCCCCTGGGCGAATTCTAATTTGATGGTACCCACTCTTTAGATCGATCTTTGAAAAGATTGTCGTGCCAACCATCATATCCAGCATATCATCAAGCCTGGGAATGGGAAAACGATACTTCACCGTGATCCTATTGATAGCGCGACTATCCAACGATACTTCACCGTGATCCTATTGATAGCGCGACTATCCACACACATTCTCCAAGATCCATCCTTTTTGGGCGTCAATAGGGCGGGGACAGCACATGGGCTTAAACTCTCACGAATGAATCCTTTGTTGAGAAGGTCATCTACTTGCCTTTGGAGCTCAGCGTGCTCGGTAGGATTCATCCTATAATGTGGCAAATTTGGAAGGGATGCACCGGAGACGAAATCTATGGCATGTTGAATATCTCTTAGCGGAGGTAGATGATCAGGTAGGTCCGCCGGAAAGACATCTCGAAACTCCTGAATGATCGATTGGACTTCCGCAGTATCCTCACTTGTGAAGTTAGATGAAACCTCCATGACTACTAAGGCGAACACAATTGAGTCACCAACAATTGTACGCTCAAACTCTGTAGGACTAATGATATGCAACCCCTTTTGTTCCACACTTTTCTTCGCTTCTGGTGAGCTAGCCGGCTTTGGGGGTAGTGGGTTAAGGTGAATCTTCTTTCCATTAAACACGAAGGAGCAGGAATTGGATCGACCATATATGGTTACATCTAGGTCAAATAGCCAAGGTCGTCCTAAGATGATGTGTCCGACGTCCATCGAAATAACGTCACACCATATATGGTCCTTATACTCCAGGAACTGGATAGGGACTAAACAACGCTCCTTAACAGCTATAGAGGAGGTGTCAACCCAAGAGACACTATAAGGTTGGGGGTGAGGAACTGGCTTCAACCCTAGGCGGGATATAGTAGCCTTCGAAACCGCATTAATACAGCTGCCACTATCCACGATAACTTTACAGCCCTTGTTATTAATCTTGATGTAGGTGTGGAAGATGGCATGACGGCGCCAATCGTCGGCATCCTTAGGCTGGGTGAGGGTGCAACGGACGACACCGACTCTGGGTGTCTGTGGGGTAATGGGACTAGCCTGAATGCAACCTAAGAAGGTATCCTCACTGTCCTCTAAGTCTTCAAACTCTTCTAACTTAGGCTCATAAACCTGATCCTCTAGTGGTTCGACGACTATATCCTCACGTTCGTCCAGAACTAGGGCTCGTCTAGGGCACTTAGAAGCAATGTGACCAAAACCCTTACAGTTGAAGCATTGCAAACGGAAGGATGTCCTTGAAACCTCAGAACCTCTACCTTTGCTATCCGATGCAGAGGTAGTATTAGAGGGAGGAGGACCTAAAATAGACTTAGGGGATGGCGTGGATGCAGATGAGGTTGTAGTGCGGGAGTCACTACGATTTCTATACGGTGTCCTAGTCACTAATTCATAATCCCGAACGAAAGAGTAGGCGTGGTTGAGAGTGGTGACACCCCTAAGGACAAGCTCGCGCCTAAGTTCGTCTCTTAAACCTTGCCTAAACCTACTCAAAGTCATAACTTCATCCTCAACAACCTGACATTTCATTCGAAACTCATCAAACTGAGCAACATATTCGGTCACAGGTCGATTGCCTTGTGTAAGTGCGTTCCATTGATCCAGCAAGTTAACCCTATAAGATTGGGGTAAATATTTTTCTTGAAGGCGGCGCTTCATTTCATCCCAGCTCCCAACAGGGAGAGCATGACGCCTTTCAAGGAGGTCCTCAACACTCTCCCAAAAGAGTTTAATAGACTTAGGGGATGGCGTGGAGGCAGATGAGGTTGTAGTGCGGGAGTCACTACGATTTCTATACGGTGTCCTAGTCACTAACTCATAATCCCGAACGAAAGAGTAGGCGTGGTCAAGAGTGGTGACACCCCTAAGGACAAGCTCGCGCCTAAGTTCATCTTTTAAGCCTTGCCTAAACCTACTTAAAGTCATAACTTCATCCTCAACAACCTGACATTTCATTCGAAACTCATCAAACTGAGCGACATATTCGGTCACAGGTCGATTGCCTTGTGTAAGTGCGTTCCATTGATCCAGCAAGTTAACCCTATAAGATTGGGGTAAATATTTTTCTTGAAGGCGGCGCTTCATTTCATCCCAGCTCCCAACAGGGAGAGCATGACGCCTTTCAAGGAGGTCCTCAACACTCTCCCAAAAGAGTTTAGCAGTGCCAGTTAACTTCAAACTGACAAATTGTACCCTCCGATCTTCCGGGACCCCATACCATGCAAAGAAGCGATCCATATCTCTAACCCATTGATTGAATGCACTAGGATCTAGACAACCGTCAAACGTAGGGGCATCTAACTTAATGTTTCGAAAGAGGAGCTCCTCGTGCCGAGGGGGAGATTGTGTACCATGACGGTAATATCCCCGCTCTCGTTCCCGAGCCTGATTCCCTTCCCTACGACCATGTCGGGCGTGGTGTCGACCACCTTGTGGGCGACGATGAGGTCTATTAATGGAAGCCTCAGAGTTATCAGCCTCGGTCGAATATGGGATTGGGTCAAGAGTATTCAACCTAGCGGTTAGGGCTCTATTCTCTTCACGAATAGCGGCTACCTCAGTTTAGACAGCTGTTAGTTGATTTTGTAATTGTGCAAGCTGTCTGAACCGTCAAACGTAGGGGCATCCAACTTAATGTTTCGAAAGAGGCGCTCCTCGTGGCGAGGGGGAGATTGTGTACCATGACGATATTACTCCCGCTCTCGTTCCCGAGCCTGATTCCCTTCCCTACGACCATGTCGGGCGTGGTGTCGACCACCTTGTGGGCGACGATAAGGCCTATTAATGGAAGCCTCAGAGTTCTCAGCCTCGGTCGAATATGGGATTGGGTCAAGAGTATTCAACCTAGCGGTTAGGGCTCTATTCTCTTCACGAATAGCGGCTACCTCAGTTTAGACAGCTGTTAGTTGATTTTGTAATTGTGCAAGCTGTCTGATGAGGGCCTCAATTTGGGCGGGGTCCATGGTAAGGTTACTAGAGCTAGAGGTAGTAACGCGACCACTACGCAATTGCATACACGGTAACACGACTACGTAAAGTGCACTACTGAGATCAATAATCAACAATCAACTAGTGTCAACCGAAGAATTAGTGATTGAAATTATTATTATTATTATTTATTATTATTATTATTATTTGTTATTTTGTCAATTTAAAGTGTAGGGTTACTTATGGCTCGATTGCAAGCTAATACTACTACTACGTAAAGTGCACTACTGAGATCAATAATCAACAATCAACTAGTGCCAACCGAAAAATTAGTTATTGAAATTATTATTATTGTTATTTATTTATTTATTTTTATTTTTTTAGTTCGTGAAATATAATCGAATAGGTTTAAGGCAGTATTATCAAAGGGCTAGTACACATCAATGGAATTTAGTTCGTGAAATACAATCAAATAGATTGAAGGCAATATTATCAAATTGCCAGCACACAACGAATTAATTGATGTAATTCTAAAATAAAGAAATAGCGTCAACTAAAAATAAATAGGATTAGGAACTCCCTGAGTACTGTTGGTTTGAGTCGTCCCAGCGTCGAATGTCTCCACGCTCTGAATTACTAAGCAATGAGATGCCAAGATAGAAAATTCCGTGCTCGTCGAGGTGCGGTACTGAACAGTCAACTAAAATGAACCTGTAAATGATGTCAGAAAAATTAAAATTCACGATACTCTTTTTTTTCTTTTTTTTTTTGACTTTTTTTTTTTGATTTTTTTTTTGACAACTCACAAAATCAAATAATCAAACTGTTACAAATCAAGCCCAAACATTAATAAGAGGCCCCAAAACAAATTAAGGCAGGGCCTAAACTGAAGATCATACACTTGGGCTCACAATACAAAGCCCAAACTACCAAGGAGCAGTCCAAGTGGATAATCAAATACCCACAATTCGTCCAGCCCTATTGAATATTCATGAGACGACAGAAGCAGTGTCGACGGGAGGCGATGATGACTGCGTCGACTGTGAGGATGACCAATGGTTGGAGAACACGAACAGAGACAGCGGTTGCGGTTGCGGCCTGCGGGGTGGTCAATTTTCTGGGTCACTGTGACTGTTAGTGGTGGTCGACAAAGGAGAGAGTTGACTGCTTAGGTCTCTGGTCTAGGAACAGCTAGCGGGTAGTGAAATTTCTTGTTACTGTGTCGCCGGTTTGTGGTATTGCGTTGTGTGAGGAGAAATATGGGTCGCCGGCGCTAAGAGAGGATTTTGGTTAAGTATGGATTTCTTGTAGACGTGGGGGCGATGTATTGCGTAGGTGGCTTTGTGAATTTGTAATTGGGGAGTGGGCTGACAGTTCAAGAAGCAGGGGCAGGTTTTTTTTTTATTTTATACGATGTGTTGGATCAGATGTTAATATTTGTGTATGGTTTGGAGAGGATGAGTAGGTCAACTTCTGGGCAGAGATTCATAGTGTTGAAAACCAACCTGGCTCTGATACCAATTTGATGTAGGGAGATTAATAAATCTGTGAATAACAAGAAGGGATGGGGGAGGGAAGAGAAGAAGAATACAGAGGAGGGGGAGAAGAGAAGGAAAACGGCTGCAAAATCAATTCTTTAATTCATCAAATTCATCAATTCCCAAATTACAAACCAATGATAGGTTTAAATAATGAAAACCTAGAAATATAGGGCCAAGTCCATTATTTAAGTCCTAATTAAAATACGTAAACTTAAATAAAAGTCCAACTGAAACAATAATAAAAGTCCAACTAAAATACTGAAACAATAATAAAAGTCCAACTATAAGGATGTCCTCATCAGTCTTACCTTTTTATTTCTATTTGTTGAATCGGCTTACACAATGCTGGTTGCTTTCATTGTGCATCTTCTTTGGTTACCAGTCTATAATTAATTAATAGTCGTTTTTAATTAACAGGCCAAGCATATGATTCTGCATGGAAGTAGGGATACTCAAGGTCTAAGTGGCCATGTAGATGGCTCCAAAGTGAAGACGTTCTCAACCTCATGTGGAACGTTGGCAGAGGATGCAATAAAAGATAATCCTGTCTCTGATATGTTAGTTGATTCATTTGGGAGGCAACATACTTACTTGAGGATCTCATTAACGGAACGTTGTAATCTACGATGCCAATACTGTATGCCAGCTGAGGGTGCAGAGCTTACTCCTAGCCAGGAACTTCTCTCGACAAATGAGATTATTCGTTTGGCAAATTTATTTGTTAGTTCTGGTGTACACAAAATTCGTTTGACTGGTGGGGAGCCAACCATTAGGAAGGATATTGAAGAAATTTGTTTTCAGTTGTCAACTTTGAATGGATTGAAGACCCTTGCCATGACTACAAATGGGATTATTCTTGACAGGAAACTTCCATTGTTAAAAGAACATGGAGTTAGTTTGTTGAATATAAGTTTAGACACTTTGGTTCCTGCAAAATTTGAATTTATGACTAGGCGAAAAGGACATGAAAGGGTAATGAAGTCGATTGATGCAGCAATAGAATTGGGATATAATCCCGTCAAGGTAAGTTTTACATATTTCATACAATGATTTGACCTTTTCATAAATAGCCCATGTTGCCTCATTCTTTAAAAACTCATTTTCAACCACACGTGCTCCCAATAAAAGAATTTTTCACGTAAACTCAAAGTTTTTCCTGTTTTTGAACCACACATTCTCCCAGTAAAAGAATTTTTTCTATTTTTTAACCACACATTCTCCAAAAAAAAATACTATTACAAAATCTATTTTCTCAAACATGGGCCTCAAAACAAACTCTTTGGCTCTATTTGAGCCTCATTTTTTGAGAAATAGATTTTGTAATAGTGATTGTTTTGGTGAATTTGTGGTTAGAAAGTATGAAAAAAAATTGAGTTTATGTGCAAAATTATTTATTGATAGAATATGTGGTTAAAAATACGTTCGGAGAAAAATGAGTTTTTAGAGAATGAGACTCAAACAAGGGTATAATAATCATAGAACAGCCTTATGAGCTAGCAAGAGCTTGGTTATCTCCAACACTGAAAGTTATTTAATTCATTTGGTTTCTTCCTTTCCAATGTCAAGAGTTTTCAGAAGTACATCTCAAATACATGCTTTGAACCTTCTGTCTCAGTTGAATTGTGTCGTAATGCGTGGATTCAATGATGATGAAATTTGTGATTTTGTCGAGTTAACACGTGACAAGCCAATCAATGTCCGGTTCATTGAGTTTATGCCTTTTGATGGAAATGTCTGGAATGTGAAGAAACTTGTACCGTACTCCGAAATGTTGGATAGAGTGGTAAGGTCGAACTCTGCAATATTCAACTGTTTTAGATTCTGATTTTCCTTTCTGCATGCCTTGAATGGTTCAATTTTACTGAACAGGTGAAACGGTTTACAGGACTTCAAAGAATTCAGGATCATCCTTCAGAGACAGCCAAGAATTTCAGGATTGATGGCCACCAGGGTACAGTTTCTTTCATCACATCAATGACAGAGCACTTTTGTGCTGGTTGCAATCGATTGAGACTTTTAGCTGATGGAAATTTTAAAGTTTGCCTTTTTGGACCCTCAGAGGTGAAGTGTTTCATCATTCGTCATATATTAATCATTTTCATAACATAAAATTTATTCATACTCTGTATTGAAACTTGTGCTGCCTTTTCTTATTGGTATAGTATCTTTGCATCATTATTGTAAATGTTTTTAGTTAGAGTAAAGTCTCTATACCTCACTCTGGACGTGTCAAAATTGGCCAGAGATGCCCAGGCTCGAGGCTGCTAGGATGGGTGTCCATTTTGCCAGGTCTGTGGCTCTTGCAGTCTGGCTTGTGTGAACCGACTTAGGAAAAAAAAAGGAAAAACCAAATCTAATCGACATGTAGCCGTTTGGAATTTGAACTCCCATTTCTTTTCTTTTCTTTACTTTTTATATTTTGTTTTGGTTAATTTTAGAATTTTCTGGTGAATTTTTGAACTCGTTTCATTTTTTGAAATTTTTCATGCACATTCTCTCGATATCAGCAACTAACTTCTATTACATTCATTTTTCTAGGTATTGCTTAAATTTTTTATTTTGTAATTCTCACTCTCCTAAATTTAATGTCAAATTAAGTATGGTTAGTTTTTTTTACTATCATAATATGGACCCAAATCAAGCAATTCCAATTCATTTTCTCTTAGGTGCCATTGTTCAAATGTTATTGATACAATGAATTAAAATATGAAAAAGAAATTGGGTAAAGTTAACATAATTTCTTTAATATGATTTTGGCTGTGCATTTAATAATAAAGATTATATTTGCGTATTCATGATACAGATTCAAATAAGATAGACAAAAGAAAAAAAGGAATTAGTATTATACTAATTGTAGAATGTATGCACTAGTTTCCTTATTGTTCAACATTTATTTGAAATTTTAGAATTTTATGGATTTCAATTTAGGAAATGGAAGAGTCTTGCAAAGATCACAGTCAAGTCATCACAAAATTATATCATGGAAATCGAGTTGTATAGTAGCATATTTGTTATACTGTTTTTCTTATACTATTCTAGCTCACTCCTTAAGCATTTTCTGAATATAAATTATGTATATTTTTTGTACAGTGGAATAATAAATTCAAAAAAATACTGGAAATATGTATCTGCTGATATTTTATTAGCTGCAGTAATAGATTCACATAGTAATTTATTTAGAATTTTATTTGAATGAAATTTCAAAAAACGTACATACTGACTTAAACATAAAGATTATGATATGCCTAGCATGTTGCATAATATGTATATTAATTATACTTGTTCAACTTCTATCTATAATCCTAATATATTTTTATTGAGTTATTTAAATATATTTTAAGTGTAATACTAGTGAGTTCAATTTGACAACAGTTATATTCTTCAATAATTATTTTTGCCATGGTGCATCATTTACTAGCACCTCTGATTCTAACAATAATGTTAAATTCTGTCAATTAGGTCAGTGGATGATCAAATTTTAGAATGTGTGAATAGAGCAACACCAGATGTTATAGAAAATTTTATGTGAATAGTTGTAAGTTGATTGGCAAGATACAGAATTGAGAATGGAAACATTGTGGACAAATTTGGTTTCATGACTAACCATTTTCAATATTAAATAATGAGATATTTAGTTTAACCCAAAGATTCATTTTGATTTGGAACTAATTTGATAGATCTCTTGTAAAGTTTTGAATGATGAAATTGTGCTTTTGTAATTTTACTCTAAAAGAACAGTAAATAAAATAATATTTCTAATTTTTACACCTTTATTATTATTTCAATTCCTGTTCAAATATCTAATGTGAAAAAAGAACATTTAAAGTAAAAAATCCAGAGGCCAGGCAGTTTCAGCTATCGTCAGTCGTGCCGGGCCTTCTAGATTTTCTGACAGCCTAGCACACCAGAGATCTAGGCCATATCAAGTGCAGCCTGTCTTTAGCATGGCCCTATTGACACGCTTGCCTTACTTTCAAAAACGATATCTCTATGTAAAGGAAGAAAAATAAAGAATGGAAAAGGAAAGAGGGATGTTGCTGCCTGTAGTGCAGAATGTGCATTGTTATCTGTAAACTTGGGTTAAGGCCCAAAATAGCCTAAACATTCTCAAACAAATTGTAGACAACAAATGCTGTGTGAGCTCTGCGTTCGGTCAATCTATTAGTAAATAACACAGTCTTATTGCATCTCGTCTATGCAGAAAATGCTTTAACCATTTACCTGGTGGTTGCCAAATGGATACTTGGTTTCAAACATAGTTAGATTACTTGTATTTATCATATTTCACAAGCATGACCTCATCAATCTAGTCCAAGTGTTTCATCTCGAATTTCCTTTAACGCTTATTGCAATCACTGGTCTTTGTCATATATTCTTTCTATTCCACTGACGAACTTTAACAGGGTGCTGCCAAGTACTGAGTAGATGATACTCGTAAGTCTGCCACATGTGGTTAACTCTTATCTTTTTCAAATATGCGTTACCGAGTAGTCTTTCTTGTGTATCTTCCTATATTCCAAATATTATTCCCATTCTGTTATATGAAAAAAGGAGCCAACCTTCTGGCAGATGAAAGAAATGGGTAGGTTGGTAATGGGTAATTAGTATGTAACTGGAAAATATCACCTAATGCTTTTGGCCTTTGGGCGCCCTCAAAGTTTGAGGCAGAAATTTCTTCTACCAAATGATTTGACATGAAAATCGTGCTCTGTCGCTGGCAATTGCACTTGTGTGCTAGAAATTTAATATGTGGTATTTGTTTCATCCCTTCCAATATCTAGTGTGCGTATTTTATTCTAGATCAAATTCATGAATTTTACCTTCCATTTGCTAGTCCAGTAACAAATGGGTTTTCACAAAGTAAGACATGGGTTGGTCCCATCGTCTCTTAAGATGTTCTCCATCCCAGAGTTGGGGCAGATTGCTGTGCGTGCATTATATTGATTGACAAGATCCAATATAAGATTTAACATCTACTTTGTGAAGGTTAAATTTCAGCACAAGTTATTCATCAGTCTTATCAGAGTTCATACCTTGCAGGTTAGCTTGAGGGATCCTCTGCGTCAAGGTGTTGATGATACTGAGCTCAAGGAGATTATTGGGGCAGCGGTATGTATGAACTATTGTCTTAGATCGTAAATGGAGGAAACACCATTTATCTTGCAATTGCTGAGGATCCCTCTCATCCTTTCATTTCACGCTGTTTGTGGATTGTAGCAAGAGATTATGTAACTTGCGTTTTTTCAACGTCACATGAATTTGCTATTGGCTTTATTTTTGTTTGGAGATGAAAATAAATTTTATTAGCAAAGCATATAGGAGAGGGTGTCCTCACCCGAAAATAAAATTTCACATAAACTAACAAATCAAAAAGAGTAGAGATCATAGAAAACTATAACCATTCTCCCTTCAATGGCTTCTCATCTTAATTGATTGTAAAGGCTGCATTCTTCATTCCCTCCCCTCCGTGCTATGTGGCTTCTATTATGTTGAATGTCATGTTACAACTTTAAGCATTTGCTTTCAACTTCAGGTGAAAAGGAAGAAAGCTGCTCATGCTGGGATGTTTGACATTGCAAAGACACCAAACAGACCGATGATACATATTGGTGGATGAACTTATCTTTAGTTCAATAGCGTTATGTAAGTTTTTGTCTAAGCGTAGTTCAGATTATTCCTACTCTTATGTTTGTAGCATTATCCACTCATCTTTAGCACTTGAAATAGTAATTTTAGGTTTTTAAGTTGCATTTCATGTTCAAATGTGGATAAAAATGCTAAGCTACATTTGGCACTCATACTAGTGCATAACAAACTTCTCAGTTGGACACTATCAGTTTCTTATATTCTATTAATTGTGAGGCATGACTGTTGACAGCACTATCTTTTGTAAACTTTGAGAATTACTTTTTGAGAGTTAACTCTCCCACCCCATCCCACTCCACCCCAACCCCAACTCCTCCAAAAAAATATATATATATATATAAATAAATAAAATAAACTACAACCCAGAACAACTCTGGTTCACCTTTGGAATGGACTATTAGTTGCAGACTTTCCATTTTGGAATGGTAGACCACTCTAAGAATGATTGCTTGAGTTCAATTTTATTTCCACTAATTGCAGTATATGTTTTCACTGGAGGAAATGTGTAAAAGAAAGAAAGAAAGAATAATTCGTGGAGCTTCCTTTATGAGATTAAAACGAGACCTCTCCTTTGCTCAGTTTGTGTTCTTCATTGAAGAAACTGAACGAATGCTTATATGGGGTCAACATAGCTTTATAAGATGGTGGATGCACATGCATTTGGTTACCACATCATTATAAGGTAAACCATCTATCTTTGAATAACATTTGCCTCTGTTTAGATATTGCAAGTCTCTTCACTTGCTTGTATGGGAATTCAATTGAGCCTTTCTTACTAAGATATTGAAGAAGCCATTTCAGCCTATGCAATATTCAAAATATATGTTCTATTGCTACTGTTGGTGGGTATATTGTTTATAGCTGGATTATTTCACTCTCACTTTCACATCTGTACTTTCTGTAGCGGTTTCCTCCTGGTGACTTGGATAATTGTTTTAGACTGACGATGTTTTCCTGTCTTTCTCTTGCAGATGCTGAAAATATTACTTGGTCGTGACTCTTATCTATTTATTGATCTCACGTTCTCTTGATCTAATCTGAAGAATACAAAAGAGGAGGTGGGAAAGGGAAAATAAGAAGAAAATAAGGAAATAGCAAAGGAATGATGTCATACTTTATTAAATTTTTTGTACATAAGCAGGCTTAAAGCAATGAGAAACAAAGAACTCATTCATTTATCGGCCACAATGTACTGGTATTTTTATATGACATCAATACAAGTTTTGTTTTGAAGCTTCTCTTGGGCTGATTTCTTTTTAAGTTTGCAAAATGCTGATTTGATAGTTTGAGGTCATAGAATGTTCGTTTGGTTTAATATCGTACTTCTATATGGATTTCTTCGTCGTAGATGTGAAACTATGGTATGAATGCCATGCTTGAATGTGTATGTTCCATGTACACGTGCTTTGCTACTTTTTGTTACATACATATAGGCTTACATTTAGCTCTCTTCTCGCAAGAGTGTGTACTTTTCTCAATCAGTTTATCGTTAGACAAGAGTGAGTAGGTAAGTCGAGTAATAGATCGTCTACAGACAATTTCTTCATCATTGAAGGTTTGGCAATGATTACTTCTCCTGACAATGTTTTAAGACAACATATTCCTTTGAAAAATGCTCTTGTAACAGGGAGGTTGAACGCCTCCCCGATAGGAGCCCCACAATGGGGGTGGGGCCGGCAAAAAAACATGGGCCCTCCCCCTATTTGTGGGGTTCAGTCAGGGGGCGGTCAGCCCGCCGTTCCTGTAGCACATCCCCATTCCTTTTGGGGAGAGCAAAACTTTGAAAATAAAGATCTAATGAAAGATATGAGTATTACCACTACCCCCAAATACAGTATGCTCATAAAGCTTTCTCCAGAATTATCGGTGAGTCGGAAGTGGTCTAGAATATGGACAACGATTAATTTCCTCCACCATAATATTGTGTAATATCAAAATTAAGCGACCTTAGATTTGCAAAGTATATACCAACTCTAAATTTTCAATGACACGAAAATGATCTCAAATTGAAAATAAACACAAAATTTATAAAAGTTAATCAAACAATATCACAAATACTGTTAATCATTATGGAAAGCATTCAATTCGGTTTGTCACACGGTATTATATTTTTTGATAGCAAACATGTATGATCTTAAAAAATGGATTTTTACCATTACCAGTACTGCAAGGTCTATATCTACTTTGGTGTTTCAGTTCGCCGAGCTTGAAAAGCGAAAGAACCGTCCAGCCTTCTTTGCCGCTTTTGGAGCTGCATTACAAGATTGTATTGAAAATTAAAGAAATCAATTACAAGCACACGAACAGATAAAAAGAATGAATGAACACGTAGAAAATCGAAATCCCTGACGGATTTCTGAATTCAAACTAGCAAGAAATCATACTGTAATATCTAGGAAGAAAATCTGTGATCATACACAATCAAGATTCTAATAGCAATTATGCATCTCTCCAAACAAGGTCATTTGAGAAGATGATCTAAATGGGGGTAGATGAAATTCCTTCATGTCTTGAATATTGATGAAGCAGTCCACATCTCCAAGAAAACTCAGAAACCCATTTGAATTCTGTTCTCCATATAATATTTCTTCACCATTTGAATTCTGTTCTCCATATAATATTTCTTCACCATTTGAATTCTGTCCTCCATATAATATTTCTTCACCGATTTCCTTCTTCATTCTGTGTTCACTACTCTGTGATACAGGCACATCTCCTGATGATTCCATTTTCTTCATTGGCTTGATAACATTAATCCCTTTTCCTTGTGCAGTCGTAGGTTTACCTGTAAGTCTTTGTACAATCTCCCGAAAATTTTCGACTTCTGTCTTTATGATCTCTGGTGCAACTATGTGTATTATGCGTATCTTTGGCTTTGTTTTGGATATTGTGTGTGAATACTTGTCCAGACCCAACTTAGATGGGGCTAAGATGGTGTCACATGTCTGTGGCTGCTTCATGATCTCTTTTATGGAAACAGATGGATCAAGAGAGAGAGAAGAAAGAGTTGGTCTCTCTCTCTCTCTCTCTCTCTCTCTCTCTCTCTCTCTCTATATATATATATATATATATGAAAAGGGGTACAAGTGTTACTTTTTTTTTTTTTTTTTTTTTTGATAACCCAGGTGTCCCAGCTTAGCCGGACTAAATCCTGGACCTCTAGCCCCCGGCCCCTCAGTGACTAGTGGAGGTAAATCGCAGGTTGTGCCCTTGTTGGTTCCCAGGTTCCCACATGGCTTTTACTCCTTCCCCAAAGGGACCCTCCTCCATGGTTATAATTATGCTCCAACTATCTTCCTTCTCCTCTAGCAGTAACTCTGGAGGTAAGCTTCATGCTCGGTTAAACAACTTAATCTTGTATAAGATTATATATGTATATTGTTTAAATAGTGTTTTCAACATTCCCTTAATCTGTAAGCGGGAATTTTTTTTTCATAGCAGTAGCACTGATGTTGAGACTTGAATCCATGGTCTTGACTTGTTCCAATATCGAACTATTTCATCTAAAATCTTAAACTGTTAGATAAAATCACGTGTATACTGTAGTAAATTGAAAGGAACCAAAACTCATCAAATCCTTTCACATATTTTCATAAATGCTCCATATTGAAATCAATGAGAAGATTAAAGCGAAAGCGTACCTTGATCCGTGGATTTCACTATTTTGAACGGGTTACGATCTTTCAATTGTTACGTGATCTTCTTGAATTTTCTTCTCTGTTGATGAAGATGCAGATAAATCAAAAATCACGTACAATTGAGGACCATGACCCCATAATAAATAACTGCAATTTGGCAGAAATTAATTGTGTTATTTCTCTGTTGATGGAGATGCAGATAAATCAAAAATCACGTACAATTGAGGACCATGATCCCATAATAAAAAACTGAAAATTGACAGTTATTAATTTTGTGTTATTTCAAATCGACCCCTCATCAACTTAAAATAACATTTTTCGATCTCTACACTTTATTCCCTTAACATTTAATATCCATTAGGTCAAAATTAAACTTAATGAGTCATTTTACGGACTAATCTTTAAAATTAGCACCACTCATTTCAATATATATATACATGCGTGGCCTCACACGTTGAATTTTTTCAACATATACTTCAACTAAACTTTATGTCCCTGTTTGAGCCACATTATTGTAAAAAGATAATGAAAAATATAGTTGTTATGAATCCCACACAAAAGATAAAAAGTCAAATATAATTAATATGATGGATAACGGTCATATTTTTCACTTTAATGAAAAAATAATGTGGCTCAAACCGGACCTATATTATAAGATATGATAGAGGTATTTTGAACTCCCCATTATCTTGTTGGAGCAAAAAAAAGTCCAAATATGGGGGAGAGTAAAAAGCGAGCTTGTCTTTTGGAAGTGATGATAAGATGGATTCTTGTATCAAAAGCTGGAAATTTTTATATATCTAATTTAAATCAACTTCAAACCTACAATTTGCACAAACAAATTAGCTGTACTCATAATGCAACACGCCTTATTTTTTTAGTTCTAAACTAATTTGTCAACTCTATTACTAGATAAGCATATTCATCACTCGTATGATGATTTTCTTTTCATTTTTTTTTTCCAATAGTCTTGACAACCCTTTTTCGAGGAAATGATCACACAATAATTTTTACGACAAAAAGTACATAATTATAAGTGATTTTTTTTTTTTTTTGGAGGTAGTGATGGTATATATTTTCGAATATCGTTAAACGACCCACGCCTTTCACCGCACCAACGACCGCACCCTCACATGACGCACAGGTCCCACCTAAATAAAAAATGCCGACCCCGTGTGTATGTGTGTGTGCGGTCACCCGCGCGAATGATCGCACAGGTCGTGTAGCATAACTCTATATTTTCTTCGTAAAACCAATCCAATTAATGAAGTAGGGATATCCATTTTGCCTGAGGTATGGCATATGATAAAACAAGTGTGTATAGAAACAGCATTGAGAATAAATAAATAAAAGTAGTCAAAAAGAGAATATTTTATTGTGTATCCTTAAATTATAATAATAAGAGGAAATTTCATTGGGTATCAAAATTTGGCTATGCATTATAAAAAATGTCACCTTTTAAATTTTCTATCAAAAATGTCAATTTAAGACATTTTTTACTCTCTAAATTATTTGAATACCTAATACGTTAATTTTCAAGCAGGGTCTATAAATTATGAATTTGTACAACAGGCCCCGTCTCCAATCACCCAAATCGGCTGAAGAACATTTTTTTCCCTTTTACAGCGCCGGCAATGGCCAGCGTCAGTGTTGGAGGCCGCCGCTGTCTGGCTCGACTGCTGCTGCAATTCAGTAGTGGCCCAATCACCCTCGACAACAATTTTTTTTTTTTTTTTTACAGCAACGACCATTGGCGGAGGGTGCTGCTGTAGTTCAGTAGCGGCGCTCTCTGCTGCTCTAGACTGCGACTGCGAGCACCACTGCCTCTGTGGCAAGCGCGGCGCTCGCTGTCGCGCTCCTTGCCAGCGGCAGCAACTGACTGCCTTTAATGTTTTTTTTTCTTTTTTTTTTTTAAGGGTAAGTTGGACATTTCTCACAAAAAAGTGATATTTTTGATAAAATTACGCGCACAAGCGAATTTTTTGTGCATTTTAAAAATAAAAAGTGACATTTTTTATAATTTCCCTTAAAATAAATCCTTTCAAGAATGTTTAAAGAAATACGGGTGATTGCGAAAATTCGGTGGCGTTGGAAAGTCAAAAGGCAAGTGGAAGTACAATAGTTATTGTCCAGCAGCGAGAATAATGGCATTCCCTCATGGAAGCGTGATTAATTAATTAAGACAATGGACAAAATTTGTCATATTTTTTTTCTTCTTCATAATATTCTAATATAACATACTAAAATGTGTCCCGCAACTTAAAAAACACGTGGTTTGTTATTCGAGAATACGTTTGATTTGAAAATTTGAGAAATTATTTTATAATATTTCATTTCATGATTTTTCATTATTTAGTAAAATAAATAATTGTATGTTAATATATTATCAAATAATATAATGGGTGAATCTTACAAGATCATTTTTGCTATGAAAGTAAAAAAATATAAATAAATAATAAATTAACCTAACAAAATATAAAAAATAAAAATAAATGATGTGAACTGAGAATTTTCATTTTTGCTTTCTTTCTTTTTTGAATTTTTTCAGAATTTCAGAAATTCTTTTTTTTTTTTTAATTTTGAATTTTTTAAATTTTATTCAAACATTTATTTCTCATGTTTTTGAGTGTGTTCAAAATTTCACTAAAAACACTCAAAACGTAAAAAATGCGTTTTGAATTTTATATTATAAATTTAACATTGTTTTAGAAAATGCATTCTCAAGAATAACAACTAAACGCACCCTTCATTATCTAGTAATTTCCAATTTAACTCTTTACCTTTATAGACATTGATCCTTTGCTAGTAGGTTAAAAATTTTCAGCAGTTCGGGTTAGAATCGGAGTTTGATGTGGACTGATCTTCCATGATATTAATGGGCCGTTGCTCTGGTTGTGCCTTACAAGACCTTGTAGCCCAACCTGGTTATGGCCCAGTGTGATTTCCAACTCCAGTAAGTCGAGGCCCTATAACAACAGAAAAGGACTAGCCGAATTAAACCTTGTGCCTCCACTTGACAAGTTCTCAAGTTTCTAGGGATCTAAGTGACATAATAGGCAAAACTAACCACTTCACAGCTTCTGCTGGTAGAAGACAGATAAACAAAAGTGTCTAACTAGATGGAATTATACTATTTCTACACTGAGATTGACTCCCCTCAGGGCTCACGCCCAATAAAAAAAGCATGGACTTAAGAGGAGAGTGTAGACGGGAATGTCAACCTCGGTGTACGTATAACAAAATCCAACTGGACGAGACAGTCCAGTAAACGCCTGGCCACCGACTGGAGTCTTGTAGTTTTGGCCCGCATATACCCTTAGTTGGCCAAAATTAGTACCTCTACTCAACTAAGAATCTAACTGTTCCATGCAATTTATTTCTACGCGAGAAAGTTCCTATTGACGAATAACGAAGATAGCATCACAAAAGCACTGAAATCATAACTGAATAAGCACAACATTATTTGGTCATTGCTTACCAACATATACAGCATAAAGTTGACAAATTACAAGCATTGATTTTGCTTTATGCCAATGAAGAACAGGGAGGGTAGAAGGGGCAGAATGGGGGGAAAAAGGGCCAAGACGTGCACTTTTTCTATGTCATCAAACAGAAGCATGGTCGTCCATGGCAAAATTTACACTTGGCAGAATCATTTTTGGTGATACAATACCCTTTGGGTAACCTTGATGACTATACAACACCTGTAAACACAAACGATTCGGCAAAATTCAGAATCTGAGTCACAAGATTCAACAGGATAGATGACATAATCTACAACAACAGAACTATGAGTATTCATGGACTCGTACAAGATTCTAAATTCCTATATAAGTATTTAACCGATAAATCAAATTCAATTTAGACGTAATCTAATGCAACCAAAGCTGTGAATATCACTTAATATCAAGTTCTTAGAGGCAAACACTTCGTGGCAGAAATTTGACAACATTGAAAAGAAAGCATGTACAAGGGGATGACGTGTGCATAGAAGATTAACTGAAAGACACCTATCGTGATGTTACAAAAATTGAAATGAAGAACATTCCCAATATATTCTAGAGCAAACTCAATACACTATACTGGCACAATCGAAACCAATTAAGCGTCTCAAGAAACAAGAAAATGGATGATCGGTAATAATTAAATATCCTGTGCTACACGGAAAAAATCTCCACCATTCTGACAAAACACACAATGCTTCCAACCCAAACAGGCACAATATTGATGCGTGGAACATCATTTTAGCTGCACTATCTCCATATGATTTATTTGCCACGCTCATCTTCCAGCACATGTTTTGATATTTCATGCTAGTGGGTAATTAATAACAACTATGAAGCTGTTGTAATACGTGGCTCATATGGAGTGGAACACATGTATTACAGCAAAAAAAAAAAGGCCAATGTTTTGATATTTCAGATACTTCAGGGGTACTATAGACTATGGCATCATGTTTTCTAGGCAATAAAACGATCCTTCAGTTGTGAGATATGTGGATGCAGATATGAAGGGATTTGGGTGACAGGAGATTGATAACAGGTTATGCAAACACTCTGGCAGGGGGATCAGTTTGTTGGAGGTCCATGATTCAGTCTCTGGTTGCACTATCTACGAGTAAGGCAGAATATATGGCAGTGGCTGCAGCTGCCAAGGAAGCTTTGTGGCTTACAGGAATTGTCAAGGAGCTGGGTGTTCAACAAGGTTGAGTTCAGTTGAAATGTGAAAGCCTGAGTGCCATTTATTTGGCAACCAAGATATTGTAGGTTATCCACTAAAATCAAGACTATGGAAAGCAGTTTCAATGTGCATGGCACTTCAAATTTTTCACGACTACCTGAAACTAAACTATGGAAACCTAAATCTAAATCTAGTGAAGCTCAAAAATCATTGTTCTATGCAGCATTTTATCTTATTATCCAGTGGGAGTACAAGAATCTGCAAGCATAGCACTTCTAACATCAAATGGCTTTCCAAGGAAATATAGCAAGCTATTTAAATACTTATAAATGACAAACCAATCCCCTCCAATACAAAGCAATGTAATTTTGTAGAAGACAAGAATGGCGAAAGAGCTTAAAAAATAATACCTTAACTTTTCTAAAACAGAAAAAACCCCTAACACCTCCAAACCTTCGAATTGTCACAACAGAAGATCATCATTACGTCCACCGCCGCCGGTTCCTTCCTCCACTATCCCTCTTGGCCAACTCAACACAGGCTCCACAGTATTCTCCCTCTCCAAAACTCCCTCCTCTCTCACATCTTCCCCAGTTTGTGTTGGGGAGAACAGATTCGCCTCAATCCCACTAGCAATATTTTCTTCCATCATACCCTCTTCATCCCTCTGATGCCTCCTCGCAATGTGCCTAAGAGTATTCCTAAAACCCAACAAATCCACCTCATCATCCATCAATTCCTCGAGCCAATCTACCCCCACATATCTCTCCTCACCATCCGACCCCTCCCCATACTTCTCCTCATCCGTTGGCAACCTAAACCGGCAAACCGGGCAAGAATTATTAATCTCGAGCCACGGAACGATACAATCCGCGTGATAGGTATGCTTACAGGGCATCACTTTCACCGAAGCATTTATGTGAAACGGGTCCTTACAAATCGGGCACAGCATATTCGGGTCATCATCGAGCAATTCTTGGGTGATGGTAATTTGTTGGAGGGAGTCTATGGCGCATTTAGGGGCAGAGTTTGAGTGGGAATTGGCGGTGGGTGCGGTGTGGTGGATGAGGCTGTGTAGGTAGGGGCTGGTGAGGAGGAAGTCATCATCTGGGGCTGTTAAAATGGGTTGCGTATGGGAGTCAATGGTGGAGGAAGGGGCAAAAGAGTCCATTTGTTCTAGGGAATCGTGGTGGCAGTGAGGGCAGAGGAGGGCATTTGGAGTGGGGGAAGGAGGAAGGCCGATGCTCATGTCACATGCGTGACACCAGTAGGAATGGTTGTTGAAGAGGCGGGATATGGCGGTAGAGGGGGAGGCGGAGGACATGGCCGCGGCGGCGTGGTGTTTGTGGTGGTGGATTTCTTTAGTTCTGTTTGTAGCTTTTTGGAGGGTGCGAAGTAACTTACAAGTTAAGGACACGGACTTCAAGGAAAATGGAGCCCAGCGTTCCGTGGGGAGGACATTGATCCTGACGTTATACAATAAAATCACTAGTAAAGAAAAAAAACCATGCTACACAAATACAATGGTTGACATGTGAAATGATCGAACACTTACACCTTTAAGGTCGAGCATTATTTTATTCACACGGGGTCCACGCTCTATGTAAGGGTCGGTCATCCATTCTTTCACCCATTTTCGGGCACTTCGACATTATGATTTTAACTGAATTGATGTATATGATTGAACTGTACTTTTTTTTTCATCTTTCAATAATGTTGCGTCATATATTGTCTATAAAATTTTTCTATCAAAAAATTCTGTACATGTAGCATTGTTTGACGTTATTAAGTTTCCAACCATTTTCAACGTGTTTGGCTAGTATAAAATAGATTGTGTATTATATTGTAAATCAAAATTCTATATTTATATTGAAGAACTAGGGAAACAATGATAATAAAAATTAGAACTGTAGGGTATAATTGTTATTCACTAATAATTATATTATTTACAACATTTCCCTTAAATGACATATTGTAAAATATCCGTCTCGTTAAAATCTTATTAAAAAAATTTAGTATGACAAAATTTGATAAAAAAAAAAATTGTACACAGTCTATCATTGTTTTGTATGTCAATATCTTCAAAATTTTAATTTTTGCTGAATTATATGTTGTCTTGATCTTCAAATAACATCGTTTGCATACGACATATTTTATTAACATTTAATAACTATAGTAATTTGATGTTTAGAAAAATAGCTTTGTTGATTTCTTCCGAAATGTTGAAATCGTAATGTCACATTCTTTAAGAGTAATAACATATTATTATTTAAAATAATAAATTGTATAAGAATTTATTCTTTTGAAGTAAAAACATAATTTATATTTAGTGGTATTTAATTACGCTACTTCCGGAGCACAAATGTTTTGTAATAGGCAGATATATATAAACATATATAAAATTAAATAATAATATAACGTTCTAAATTCATCCACTAACATTTATTTTCATTATAAATTCTTTTGAACATTTTTATATTCTGTTAGAATTGGTGTTTAAATAAAACTCTCATAAAAATAAAGGTCACTTGAAGGTAAAGAGCAAAAAAAAAAAAAAAAAAAAAAAAAAAGAAATGAGAGAAATCAGCTTCATCATAATTGGCAACTGCCAATTTTTTATTTTTTATTTTCTTTAGCATAAAAAATTAATTTATTTGCAGTTTGCAGCTTCAGAAACTACCTCATGTTGTGCAGTATCTTTTCTTCTTATTATTTTCGAAGTGCTGGCCATTTTTATATCTCTAATAATAAAATTATCATTTCTACATCTCTAATTCTTTCATTTTATTTTCACAAAATTCTCTCTAATCGTTACAAACTTCTAAAATATTTTTGACTAATACATTCTGTTCTTTACCTTCAATTGACTTTTAATTTAATTTATTTTATTATGTACAATTTAAAATCTGGTAATTACTTTAAAAAAAACTGCTAATTTTTCATAAAATATGTTGTATAATTTAATATATAGAATCCATGTCACATTGACGGTGGTAGTGATTATAGGGTTTATGGTTCATAAAATCTCATAATATTTGGTTTGTAGAATTAATTATTGACTTGTGAAAAGGTTAATATCATATGTAATGGGGACGAATAAAATGATTTTTTTTTTTAAAATTTGATTAGGTTGTATTTAGAATGAGATGATTAATATAAAATTTGTTTGCAACTGTAGTGTTTAAATGAATGAATTTAACAAGAACAAAATTGGAATGTGATGTGAATAGAAATAGTAGCATTTAAAATTTTAATAGGAATGGATATAGAGTGGAATGAATATTTAAAAATCGCGACTATAAATAGCGGCTCCCAAAAAATAAGATAGATATGCATTTATGTGCAAATTTGTGCATGTTCAGGAGCGTCAAAACAATACAAATATCATATTCCTTTTTAAGTAATGTTACAATATTTTTCTAGAATATTGATTTAAATTATTTCTTCTTTTAGAATAATAATGCAATATTCTTCTAAAATATTGTACTAAAATATTGAATGGAAAAAATTACATTCATGTAAATATTTATCTATCACAAATGGTATAGTCAAATTGATATAAATAGATCTAATAACTATATCACTTTGTTATGCAATTTAAAATTAAGAGAACACTAACATTTTCTTTAAGCAGATTATAAAAAGAGTTTCTTTATAAAATCAATTCGCTAGACTTCTTGTCTTTCTTTGATTTGCAATAAAAAATAAAAAATAAGAATTTCATATTTCAATTGGTTAGAAATTTGAAAGCAAAAATGAAAAAAATAAAAAATAAGAATTTCATATTTCAATTTGTCACAAATTATTTCAAGGTCACGAATCAAAATTTTGATAGGTCATAGATTATTTCGAAATTATAGATCACAATTTATCTATCGATTTTATAGATCACAACTTATGTCATTGGTCAAAATTTCAAAGAATTATAGGTCACGGGTTACAAATATAGGTCACAAATGGTTACAAATCCAAAATATTATAGGTCACGGGTCACGTATTTTCCAATGTGATGATCACAGATTATTTTTTTAGTCATAAAATGATCGAATTTGAAGATTACAGATTAATTGTCGGTCACGGACACCATACACCAATCTGGATCCACCACAGTACATGGCCACAAACTCACAAATTATAAAATTTTAAGGTCACAGTTCAAGAGTCCGTCACAGGAACCAAATAGCGGGTCATAGACGCCAAACAACCACCGCCTCGCTGCCACCTAAATAACTACACAATCTGCAACCACCATGACCAACAAACAATACACCACGACAGCCAGATCCACTCACCCAACCATCGCAACACCATCGCCCTACAGTACCACCAGTCCAATACCACACCGCACACCACCACCGAACCGTCATTCACCACAATACTCAAAAAAAAAAAGAAAAAAAAAAGGAGGAAGCATGGATCTGCATAGTGCGACTCACTGGAGTGAGTGCCATGGATCACCGGAGTGAGTGAAAGCGGTCGATGATGAGATCGAAGAACACAAGTGGAGATCGAAGAGCCCATACATATCGATGGAAGAAAAGCAAAACAGCCGTGCATCGCCGTCGTTTCACCATATCCACTGCTGAAAATCGAACCTCTACCACCACACCTGACCCGGCGAGACCCCATCGCACAAGATAGACTCACCACCACAACACAACACGCCATACCGCCACCACACCATATTTTCAGACCATCTTTAGAGCGCCGGCTAGCGATCTGTGATGGAAAACGAGAGAGAACGTAACGAGAGAGAAGAAAGACGTAAAGAGAGAAAAAATTATTAGGTTTTGGAGTAATTGGGGGGAATATTAATATTTAATTATTATATTGATAAACCTGATTTTTGCTTAATTAAACCTTGTCCATGATTTTAGAATTTGTATCTTTAAACCCTTGCATCTGTGTAATTTCCTCATTTTCATTTATGCTAATGGATAGGGCCTGTGAACAAGCCTTGTGACAGGGGGCTGAGCCACCTTAGCCCCAATCCCAGATCTGAATTCAGATGAAATTACATCTACCCTTAATTTTTAGCTTTACATTCCAATAATCAGTTTTTAAGTTTATTATTTCACATATCAAGTTACATTAAATTTTTTAACATTAAATATTATACATTAGCTCTTGTTTGAGTCCCCATTTTTTTGGACAAAATACATTTTTTAATAGTGTTTTTGGGAGAATGTGTAGTAAAAAAAAAAAATAAAAGGTTTAAATTTTACGTGTAAAAATATTTTATAGGAGAATGTGTGATTGAAAATAATTTTTTAAAAAATAATTTTTTTGAAAAAATGGGATCAAACATAGGCATAATATTATTAAGTAAACTAATTAAATATAACTTACCTACATTGTTATCAATAGTGGAGAGAAAAATTGCTCAGAATTTTCAAATTTCCTTCTTCTATCGCATCCTTTGAGAGATAAGCTTGACACCTTTGTTCAATTGATTCGATCACCTTAGCTCAGAGAGTAGAAATTTGATGCTTTCATCTACGATGGAAGTGTTGAATTTATTTTCCTCGCTTCATAATTTCATAAATTATTTTACAGTTCAAGCTTCTATTAAATCCTAGTCCTTATAAATTACTTGCAAAATCTCGGGATAAAAGGAAAAAACTAAATCATAGAAAGAATCTCCTTCAAAAAATCTCAAAAGCGTCGATTTTGGTGGAAAATATACTTTCAAGAAGGTAAATCAATTCATTGTTAAATTATTATTATTTTTATTTAATACAATATTTATGGAAATTTTAGTTAATGGGTAAGTTGTGTTTGTAGTTTTTGGGTGATTCTGATTTTCATTATGTTAATCAATTTTTATGAATTGTTGTTCGATCATTACATGATTGTGACCTCATTTTTTTGTTGTGATTGATTGTTCTTCAATTATTTTGTAACTCGACTTCACTTTTTCTTTGATTGTGACCTGATTGTTCTTCTATTATTCGATGGTTTTGACTAGTTTTCTATTATCATAATGTTTGACTGTGACCTAAAGATTGTAATCATCGTATACGTAGATTTGTTAAAGGGTACGCTTTCATGGAATGTTGTATTTGGTAAAGACGATTCTTCACCAACCTCTATATGAAAAATTGGTTGTTCGTCAATCAATCTTACGTTATTTCTGTGTTATGTCCCACTTTCTTGTGACTGTGACCTGGTTTTAATCTTCGAATAATCTATCATTTTGACTTGACCTATCAATGATTGTGACCAGATTGTTGTTCGAATATTTGAGCATGCCATTATTGTATTTTTAATCTAATCTTGATATTATGTTCCAATTATTTAATGCAAAAATGGAATTATATATAGTTTTTGAAGACTGTTAGTTTGTGGGAAAAAAACAACATATGTGACAAATAATGTACTTACTATGAAATAACAACAATGTGCAAAGAAGGGGAACAAGGAGGCTAAACGATTTCAAAATGTTAATCATTATTTTTATGTCTTCAATGTTCATATGGTTGATCAAATGTTAGATTGTAACTGTGTATGTTGTTGAATATCAATTCGATAAGTTCATGAATCACATAATGTTTAATATTTTTCTTCGCTCCAATTATTTTGATCTTGTAAATCATTTTATATTCAAATTGTGACACATTTTGTTAATTGTTGTGGCATTTCTTCAAATTGAATCATGTAATGTTTAATTATGCGACCTTTTGTATAGATCTATATTCTACGTGTCACATTTTAAATGTACATATACCAGGTCATAAACTTGATGATTCACATACAATTTTACTGTGTGATATAACAAGTTATATTTTTCACAAAATCATAGTTAAAATCCGTACAAAAAGTTAGGTCATAATATAATAACATTACATATCAAAGTTTACACAATCGATATATTGCACATAGGCTCGAAACATATTACAATTTCAAAAATAATTAATAGGTAAAAATTGTATATTACCTTAAGCCCCATATAAGTAACATGAAAGGACATAGCCACGCAAAATTTATAGGTCACATAAAGTTTCAGTATTTGATAGAATAGGTTACAATCATTTGAACTTGTAGATCTCAAGGTCTTAATCACATTCAACATAATAGGTGATGTTTCACACGAATACAAGTTACAATTGCATTAACCAATAGGTTTCATTAATATAAGGATATAATTATCAACCAAAAATGAGTAGTGTAAAAAAACCTATTGGCTTGTGACATTTAGAGTTAGGAGAAAAATGAGTAAGAAATTGATTTCAGATGTAATTCATCGAAATGGTATAGTATACCAAATTAACATCATCTACCAAATATACTCTCAAAAAGAATCTAATTATTAATCTCGATAAAATGATCCATTACACTATCAATCTAACCAATTAGATAGTTTCACAATATATGAAATCAGTAAACTTTTTATTAAACACAAGTTTAAAGTAATGAAATTTTGCAATAACTGCCTGTTGAAACTAGTACACAACATGATTACTATTTACTGACTTTTTTTCATGTTTATTTGGTTTCTCCTTTCATTGTGTTTGGTTTACACGTTTTTAAATTGTAACAATATCCACTAGATCTTCAACAATTCATAATTTATTTTCGTCCGCAGGCTGATTTATTTCTCTTCTCGATTGGCCTTCAAGCACTTCCCTTCTTATTAGGTACTCGTAAGATTCTATACTAAAAAAGTAATGGAATAGTCACACAATCTGTCACTTTGTGATTGATACAGTTAGCAACAAAATCGAAGAAGAAAATATTGCACAATAACAACAAAATAAAGTCAAGAATAAAGTATATTCTAATCATATCAACAATACACATCTGTGACCTTGTGATTTGTAAATTTTTCACCAAAATTTGAAAATCATGTAGGTATTAAGTAATTGTGACCAGTGCTAAGACATTAACATAATACAATCTTTCCCTTTGTCACTAAAACAGTTAGCAATAAAATTGAATAGCAAAATCTTATCACAATAATTGCCAATAAGGCCAAATAAAAATATTCAGATTACATTGATGACTTATGATCAACACATAATCTGTATCCTTGTGAAATGTAAAGTTAAGATCAAAATGAAGAGCAAATTGAGGTCACAATCAGTTCACCAGAATTTGAAAATCATGCAGGCAATTAGTATCTATGACCAGTGCTAATACATCAACATAACAACCTGTCACTTTGTGACCGATACAATTAGTGCAAATTTGAACTACAAAATATTGTCACAATAATAACAAAATAAGGTCAGACTACAATGTTGGAATATAGTGGTGTTAATGAAATCGGATTATCGCATATCGTATATGTAGTTTAGATACCGATTTTAAGCATACTGTATATGCAATATACCGTATATACAATTTACCGTATTTGCAGGAAGCTTATCGTATTTGGAGCTTATCATATTTGCAAGAAACTTACTTTATTTGCAGCTTACCTTATACGCTGTCTACCGTATATGCAGTTGACCGTATTTGTACATATTTTCTTTACCTTTTTCGCATACCATATTTTCACTTACACCTAGAAATATCGTATATGTAACATATATATTGAATTGCATTTACCAACCGTTAGCAAGAAAATTCAGGTATGTTTTTTTTTTCTTTTTCTATTTTTATTTCTAACATAAATATAAAACAAGTAAACTGCAAAAAATATGAATTTAGTAAATTGCAAACGTGTAAATCACTAAATAAATAAATAAATAACTGTAAGAATAAATTGTAAATATATAAATTACAGAAGATAAATAAATTTTCAACCCGAGCCCTATGCAAGCATAGTTTTTTCAAAACAGATTCGCTCCCTCAATGTAAGTGCTTGAGATTTAATTCGAGCGTCTGTTTCCCAGGATACAATGGTAACAATAGAATCTGAGCACTGCAAAAACTATTCCGGCGAACTGAGTTTGTATTGAAACAACCACCAAGATGACGCTGAAAAAGCAACAGATTATGTATGCAGACAACACTAATTTGATAGAATATTTTCGTGTGAATACATTATTCTCGTGGTTAGAATTGCTGGAAAATGGGACTTACTATATGATTAAATATGCTTATTAACTCCATAACAATAAATGTAACGCCCCGAAAATTTTGGAATAAAAATATATTTGTCTTATATGTT